AAGCTGTTGACGTCATCTTTCGGCATTGTAGTATAGGCTAGATAGGATCTGCCACATGTAGTCTGGGCGCCGAGCGCCAGATAGGATATCAACTCTGGTTCTTCATTGATGATGATGGGACTATTTCAGCATTGTCAATTATGAACTTTTGGTGTGTTCTTATTTGGTGAATCTTGTGATGCAATTCCGTTGTTGGTTCGAGGTCACGACTATCTGGACTCGTATGTATGATGCTGTTTGATTGCTGAAGTTCGCTATTGCTCATCTTCCTTGCACGTGCATTGTGCACTGACTATCAGACAGATGGACGGTTCTGAATGCTTGTCTTGTTGCAAATGGATTTTTTGTGGCCAAATAGGTACCCCGGCACAATGGGTTACAGGGAAGCTGAGAGCTCTGGGCTTGTGGTTCAGCAAGATGTACCGTGCCTTTGGCACATACATCCTTTTTGTGACAGTAATGCTGATCATATACTGTGTGACGATATCCTACATCAGTTGCGGCTACTTGGTGTTCCTACTCCTTTGGATTGTGGTTCGACACCTGGGATTGAAAAGCAAGTCGGCAATGTGGCTTCCGATTGTGCTATTTGCAACTATGGTTATGATGGTTAGGTATGTGTGTGGCGCATTCCCCGACTTCAAAGACTTGTTGCAGAAGCAGATGAACCTCGATACAAAGGAAATGAGTGCGGTAGGTCTCAACTACGAACCTGGTACCCCGTTGTACAGGCAGCTATGGGATTCGACCCTTCTCCTTTGTATCGTCCAGCTGCACCGCATTCATCGATATGGACACCGGCGTTCTAGAAGGTCTTTGCAGCATCCAAAGCATGATGTGAGTGAATATCATAGCGTCAGTCCGGAAGTCGTCAGCGACAGCAGCCATGGAGAGACAGTCATGGGCAACGGCAACCACAGGTCTAGTGGACAAAGTAGCAGCAGCGATAATGACGTCAGAGACAGGGAGCAGGCAGACTTTGGGTCAGAGATGGGGGACATCAATTACGGGTATCTTGGTTTTCTTAAACGCCTATCGATTGTTCATTGCCATAAGCCAGTGGCCATTGCCATATTCTATGCTTCAGTGAGCCCTGTTTGTGCCGTTGGGTTCCTCTACCTTTCACTGCTCATCATTTTCTTCAACTTTGGAAGGTTCTGGGCGATCCGCGCAAGGATCGTTGTCATTTACACTGCAGTTGTAATGGCTGCTCAGTATTTTCTTCAAGTTGCAGTTGCTGAAGATGGAATGTGGTCGCCAGAATTTGAAAAGAAAATGAAGAGCAAGACACTGGTTATGGCCGCATGTGTGTTTGAGCACTCTTGTATGTGGTGGAGGGAAAGGCTGCCATCATATTTAAGAGGTGATCCTACTGTGGGAGACAACTGTCTGCTTTTCATTCCAGCTCTGCGGCGATCAAGGCCGGTTAACATTAGGACGCTGGGAGGGCATTCAACTGATGACTTGGATGCAGTGCCGGTAATGAGTGTGCCCTCAGACAGTGCCAACTTTATTCAGGTGGAAGGAACAGATTACAATTCTGGCAAACGGAGAAAAATTGGCACAGAGGCAAGCTGTCTTACTGTGGTAAAGGTTAAAGAGACCCCCCAAGGGGAAGCAAAACCCACTCCTGAGGGAACTTCACGCAACCCATCTTTTGAAAATAGGGGTGATGGACGCTCCCGACGCTGGTCAAAGAAAGTGATTCAGGATATTCGACAGTTTCGATACCAGGCACAAATGGACACGCTGCAGCGCTATGTACGATATGTGGTTGAGCACTTCTTTTTGTTGTACGGCCTGGAAATCAGTATGCTGACACTCCTGCTTGCAGCGTTTGCTGTGCTGAACGTGTTTTCGGTTGTGTATGTCGGTTTGCTTGCACTCTGCATCCTCCTCCCGAGAAGACACTTGCAGGGTCTCTGGTCGTCTTTCGTTTTTCTGTTTGCTGCAATCCTTGTCGCAGAATACGTGGTTCTTTGGAGAACAGGACCATCACAGGGTGACGCTGCAAAGCCCTGCTCTGCATGCTGGTTCAATAAGGAGCCAAAAGATGACCAATGTTGGGAATGCTGGCTAGGTAGGTAGGACCAAGCTTGTACTCTCATTCCATTGGATCCATCTGTAAACATCTTCGTACTCCGTGCCCTACGCTCTCCCTGACCTCGTCTTGGTTCTCTCCGCTGCTGGGTGATTTGAACCTGCAAGGCTTCTCCCATAGTGCTGTGATATTATTATGATATTTGGTGTTAGAGGCAGGCAGCAAGATGAAGGCAGCCCTTGCACACTTTCTCAACTTGTTTTGCCTTTTTTCCTGTTTTGTTTTTAATACTTTTTATTGAAACAACTTCAAACAAGTTTGTTGCTCGATTGTGTTGCCATCTGTTTCTTTTTTCTGTTTTGTTTTATTTAAACAAGTGGACCCGGCGCGGCGACGCCACGCCCCAGATGCAACCCTGCCCATACACGGCAAGGTGGGACCCGCAGTTTGCAGGCATGGCGACGGAGGCGGGAACAGACGAAAGAACAAAAAAAAAAGACCGAGTTCCAGGACCACCTCCAGCGCACTTAGTGCCAACTGGCCGTGATAGTCCGCTAGACACCCCTGATCGGTACTCGTAGGGTCTATGACTAACATGGGCGTGAGCGTGAGAGTGAGCGGGTTGTGTGTGGCGTGTGGGAGAGTGTTGGCCATAGCCACTGCTGCGACTCGATGGGGGGTGGGGGAAGTAGATGGGAGGCACGCAGCAGTAGAAGGGAGGTGCAGCTACTGGCAAAATGCTTGGTCTTTGCCTTAGCGCCCCCCCCACCCTCCAACGGTGGCCCCATCCTAGGGGGTGGGGCCCAACATGCGTTCTCTTAAGTGTGAGAGGCAGCCATGCTTGCAGGGGTCCCGGCGCGGTGACACCCATAGCCACTGCTGCCACTCGACGGAGGGTGAGGGAAGTAGATAGGAGGCACAGCTACTGGTAAAATGCTCGGTCTTTGCATAAGCTGCCCCCCTCCATCCAACGGCGGGCCCATCCTATGCGGGGCAGGGCCCAACACGCATTGTGAGAGGCAGCCATGCTTGCAGGGGTGCCATGCATACGCTTAGTAGTAGTGGCAGCTACTGGCAAAATGCTCGGTCTTTGCGTAAGCCGCCCCCCTCCGTCCACCGGCGGGCCCATCCTATGCGGGGCAGGGCCCAACACGCATTGTGAGAGGCAGCCATGCTTGCAGGGGTCCCCTGCATACATTTAGTAGTAGTGGCAGCTACTGGCAAAATGCTCGGTCTTTGCGTAAGCCCCCTCCCTCCATCCACCGGCGGGCCCATCCTATGCGGGCCAGGGCCCAACACGCATTGTGAGAGGCAGCCATGCTTGCAGGGGTCCCCTGCATACGTTTAGTAGTAGTGGCAGGTATATAGTGAAAGGCGAATTTGAGAGAAGAATATACCTTAGTTTTGAAAAGAAAAAAATATGGCAATGTATGTTTCCAAGTTCTAGCGGAATATTCAGTCACATCTTGCAAATTTTGAGAGGAGGCCTGCTGCCATTGGCTCGGGTCTGAATTCGAGCTTTCTTCCAGCGGAGGATTCAGTCACATTTTGCACATTTGGAGCGGAGCCAGACCAGATGCAATTGGCTCGCATCTGGATTCTAGCTCAAGGGTCTCGCTCCGCCATTCTCGACATGCACAAAGACAAAAAGCATGGTTGTGTATCTCTCCGTGTTCTGGCAGAAGATTCACTCCCGTTTTGCCCATGTCGAGAGTATTGGAGATGGGCCCCAGGTTGATTTGGACTCTTTTTTTTTTGTCGTTTTCTACGTCATCTGCTACAGGGCCTCGCGGCAATGCATCTTTCCATGTTCTAGGAGTGGGTTCACTCCCATTTTGCACATTAGGAGAGTAGTGTCACAAGCCCTGTAGCGGACGATGCAGAAAACGACAAAAAAAAAAGAAACGGACTCCAACTCACCAACGGGCCTTGCTCCTCTCTCCCTTCGAACATGGAAAGATGCATCGCCATAGGATGAAGAGAACAAAATAAAACGTTGCCACTGCGTCCATCTACGTGCATCTGTCTGTGTGGGGCGGGGTATGTACTTGTATTCCAACACACGGCAAGAAACTTCACGCGGCCGGGACAGCGCCCGCAGGCCCAGCAGGGAAAGGTCGTTTTCCCAACAGTGGCGGCCAGGCCTCGCGGGAGCGTCACGCGAGACCTGGCTTACACTTCAGTAAGAGTACAGATAAGGTTGAAGAACAGGGATAGGTGTGGGATCTTGGGTGGATGGAATGTTGTCACAGCATGTAAGTTGCAGCGATATGTATCCGCAAAGTGTTCATTTGCACACAAGTGCAAAAGCTGTAGTTCGAAGCCGATGGAGGTCATGGTGCCTTCCAAACCCTCTGTCCATGCATAATGTTTTCTTGCTGGTAGTTGGTGGTGGAGCTCAGAGTCAGGCCCATTTTTGGCATGTAGTTTGTTCAATGGTTTCTGGTGAATGCTCACATTACTGATCCGTGGCCGTAAGGAGGATGAAGTTCCGATAAACCCCTATCATCACTTACAGTATCATCTGTTAACGGACTCTGAGGACTGCAGAGGGTTCGGCCTCGTGATGAGCCGGTTGAACGCCAACTAAATAGTCCTCCCATTTCTTGTCCTTGTCTCCATTCTGTCTACGATGTTTCACCGGCCTGTTCATTTTGACTGGGGTAAGTACAAGCTCCACCAGAGCATTATGGCCTTTGTGTGAAACGAAACTCTGAGGGCTGCAGAGGGTTCAGCCTCGTGATGAGCCGGTTGAATGGCAACTAAATAGTCCTCCCACATGGCACCGGACCACATTGGACAAATCTGATATCATTGGTCGGACTTCCAAACGGCAGCAACAACACTTACTCACCACTTGATTTCTCATGGGCATCCTCCGTCGATCCTGGCTCAGGGCTGGACGTGCTTTGTGCACTCTCACCAGCTCGGGTATTCTGTGCATGTGATGCGTCTCTCTCAGTGGTTGCAACATATCCATCATCCACTTTCTTCCTTCCCCACATTTTGCCCTCATCTTACTCATCTGCTGGAGATGGACCTCTGCAGAATCCTCTCCAGCCATTTTCACCGCTGCTAGTACCCCTCTGGTTTCTTCTGGCAGCAACTTATTCGGGGTTTCCTCTGCTGCACAGCTTAGTGCGGTTACCCCTACAGTTTCCTTTTGGTGACCAGTTGACCCCAATTTCACTACGTGTGCGGCAAACACCACAGCCTCCATCTCCTGGACGCTCGCACTCTCCATCTCAAAACCCTTGTTCAGTCGATCCCCCTATCCTCTCTTTCTGTGCTTGGGAGCAGACGACTGCACTCCTCCTCGCCTTCTCAATCTCCTCAACTGTCTCATTAGCGAAACAAGACTCTCCTGTTCCTGCCGTTCCACTCCGCTGGCCAACAAGCTCATCTCTAACTTGCCACGCCACAACTCCTCTTATTGTGTATCGCGAACGACATGCACCTGACTGTCCCTCATCCAGGGATCAGCAGCCTGTTCCTTTAACTGTCCGGGTTCTCTCTGTGCTTGCTCCACGTGGCGTTGCTGTCTCTTTGCTCCATACAACAAAATGCTCTCCTCTGTACCCTTAAGGAAGTCTGACTCCCGGTGGGCAGTCACCAGGTTGTCGTTTATCCTCTACAGCGTTGGGGACTCCCAACTATCCCTTGCTGCGCAGGGTAGACTGAACTGTCAGGATGCAGCCCCGGAATCCGAGGATTGGAGCATCACGTGGCTGACTTGCAATCGTCCCTCAGAACATAGCCCACATACATGATCGACTGCTCATGACACAGCCCAGAACATTCCACACTTGGAAAATCATCTGGGTAACTTGCAAATTGTTGGCCGGTGTACATCACTGCAGCCTGTTCACAACAATGTGGAACATCTTTGTGATCCCCGTTCCTCCAATTTTGTTGAGAACCTTCACTGTATCTGTGGTCTGACGGCTACTACCTTCTTCCCCCGAATACAATGGACTTTCTTGCAATTGCTCCTCAGCTCAATGTGAATATTCCTTGCCATACCAGGGAAGGAGGTTTACAACTGAGATGCTGCAAGTTGCAATGACGGACCGCCAACTTGAACTATGCCATGCTCGGCCTGGTGAGTGGTGTCATTGTCGGTCTCACATATCCGTTTGCATTGTACATGAACCTGCCATTACATGGCCATTGTTCGCGGCGTCGACCACTGGAAATTGTGTGATAACGGCACCGTTGTTCATGCGATGATGGGTGCCAACGATTTCCTTTGCAACGATGATGTTTTCGTGCCTCAGCAGATCACCTCCACGCTCTTTTATGTCGAGGATCGTTTGTCTGCCCCTGTGACGCACCAGGGCATTTTGTCAATGTTCTGCCGCCTTCTCCTCCTCTGCACGGCTAGGGATGCCGTTAACCTTGGCTGCATGTGTGATTGTCGCTGCCAGAGTCACTGCATTGCCAGGGTTTCTATAGTCATGTGGGAAGAGGGCTTGTGCTCCTCCTTTCCTGACTGTTCTCACCTTCCACACCTGGACATCATATGTCCATTTTGCAGCCAGGGATGGTAATGTGAATGCATGCTCCTCTGTGATTTAATTGCTCTTTTGTTCTGTCTTGGAACTGACAAGTCTATTGGCGGGAGTGTTTTGTGGGCATGCTTAATGCCAGTGGTCGTGGCTACTGTTGTGCTGAGAATACTTAACTAGGTTTTTTGCATGTCATCACCCATCTCATCCCCAATGTTTGTGTCCACTCTGTCGTGGAAGATAAACTGACTCCTGAGTTTTCATTTAGCCTTCCCTATGCTGTCATCTCTATTCCACGCTCCCTACTTTCCCTCTTTCTCTTCTGCCTTTCCTCCCTCTTGTCTCCCCCCTCCATCTTGCATCTCCGTCTCCCCTCTGTCTCTGCCTCTTTTTGCAGTGTGCAAGTTGGTGTTATTGGTGCACCAGGGTGTACGCAGCTGGTGCTGAACTGCACCAACATGGCGAGCCTGGTGCCTGAGAGGCACAGTAAAGGGAGAGCCAAAAGAAGAAATAAAAAGGAAACCGTGAAAAAAGGGAAATAGGGCAAGTTGGCAAGCGTGATGTCTGTATCTACCTGGAAGGATGCCCAAATTCAGTCAAAAAAGTTACTGGTGCGAGGACACTCGAAGCATCAGGATTGCCACTTACTTCCTTTCTGTTAAGGGCACGGATGGATGTTTTGCAAATGCTTTGGCCCTGTTTTCTGGTATGCTCACTATGCCAAGGGCATGCACACAACGCGCTTCTGGAATGTATCTACCTGAAAGGATGCCCAAATTCAGTCGAAAAAGTTACTGGTGTGAGGACACTTGAAGCATCAGGACTGCCACTTACTTCCTTTCTGTAAATCACTGTGTCATTGGTTGCAGGGGTGAGTCTGGATGATCCACAAATGCTTTGGTCCTATTTTCTGGTATATCTTATCAGCACTTACCAGCTGCGAGCAAATCTCACAACGGCGCAGTACCCGAACCTGATACTGAGCCCTGTGGCAAAGTTAAGTGACTCCATGGGGTGGAGCAAGATCTTGTTTGAGAGTAGGGATCAATGGACGTGGTTGGATCATCTTCGGTTCCTGTTCTATCGTAACCTGCTGCTGGTGGTGCTTCTGCTTGTCTCTGCCACAGGCACTCTGAAGTACGATGTGCTTCACTTTGGATACCTTGCCTTCTCTCTCATCTTCTTTCATATACGGCTCACTGTCATGAAGAAGCGGAACGCAGTATTCTCATTGCTAAGGCTCTATAACTTCTTTCTCATCATCTTATCGCTGGGATACCAGGCTCCGTACTTTGTGTATCAACCTAATGGCATCATTAACATCATAGGCCTCTACAAGTACAAGTATGGCTTCCGCACGGAGTTGAATTTGGATTTCGGGGGGCCGTGTTCGGCCACTAGCAAAGACTGTTCTCGATCCGCGATTGTGGACATCACAATCTTCGTCCTGGTGGCCGTGCAATCATGGGTCTTTCGGTCAGAAGTGTTTGAACAGGTGATGGAATATATTGCAGCTGAACAGGTTGAGGCGTTGGCCAAGGCACATGAAGACAAGGCAGAGTGGAAGAAGAAGCAACTTCAGCAGATCCGGCAGATGGATGAAAGAAAACAGGTTCGCCGATCACAGGTTCAGAAAATAAAAGAGTGGCTTGATGATGTCAGCAACACCGCTATGACCAACGCAGAGCTTTCTCTGACCAAATATGTTGACCGCGGCAGTCACAGGTGAGAACATCAGAGTTCACCCCCCCCMCCCCCCCCCCTTCCCCCGGCACTTGGACACAGAATATGGACAAACTTAACTATTGACTGTTGGTGGCAATATCCCTGCAGATGCCCCTCCAAATGCGAAACCTGAGTCACCTGTGGCTAGGTGATAGTGCAATGAATTGCAGTGGCATGCGGGCTGTACCCTAACTTCGTTTGATGTTGCCTGGTTTTGAGCCCTCGGGGATATGATCCCGTGACCTGTTTTGTTTGCTGTGTTTTTTTGTGTGAGAGCCCAACTGGGCTTGATCCCTAAGTCTGTTTGGAGTAGTCTTTGTAGGCTAGCTGTAATACCACTAGGTCTCTCTGTTTTGTCCTTTCTGCCCTTGAGTTGCAGGTCATTTCTGTCCTCTCCTTTTGCCAATTTTAGGTCTAGATTCGGTCCTAGGCTATAGGCTGTCGTTCCTAGGCTGTAGGCTGTCGAGTCAGGGAAAACAGCAGTCTACAAAAGTGTCAGAGGGCAAGGAAAAACGGGTTCTGTCTCGTCGTTTTTTTTCCACAGAGTGCTGCTGGAGGTCGCGTGCTGTTTGGGTGCTGTGTTATTTCACTTGCGGCATCATCTTCATGCTGCTAGGGCTGTCCTCCATAGCTGGGGCTTCATGGCTCGTGTTGTGACTGCGCTGGGCATCAGGCCCTGAGCGCTGTGAGGTGCCTCCTCTTACCTGTGCTGTTGGGGATAGGCAGGGTCGCCATCGAGACCCTTCTTGCAAGTGTTTGTCGAAGTGGCAGCCATCTCCTGCTTCATCAAGCGCTGGTGCTCTTCTTCTTCGTCTTGGAAGCTACCCTGCCCTGTTGAGCGGACACTTCATCTGCAGTGGGTGTCGAGTTTAGACTGCTGAGTGGCGTGTCGGGTTCAGGAGGGTTGGTGACGCTTGATGGGATTGATAGGTTGGGCGCAGGCCTGTGTCATAGCTGTGAGCTTGAGGTTGGGAGGAAGAAGAAGTCTCCCTTGTTGAAACCCTCTTCTTAGTTGGTTCGTGGATGTTAATAATGTGGTTGGGATCATGGTAACCGCCTGGACGTCCGGACCGGGTTCCAGACAGTCCGGTGTCCGGTGTCCGGTGTCCGGTGTCCATGTCTGGATGGAGGCCTCTGGGGCAAAAATCAAAAAAAAAAAAGGGGCATCCCAGGACGTTTGTCGGGTCCTAGCTGAATAACGGGGTGATTTTTAAGTGTCCTTTCACCCCACCGGACATGGCCTAGAGGTCAGACACAAGACACTGCAGGTTTCTGAGGTGGCGGGCTTCGCACAGGCCTGAGCAATTTCAAAACGGCCGTTTCGACGTGGCGCCCGCCGCTGCTGCCCGTTGGGGGCAGAGAGAGAGAGAGAGAGAGAGAGAGAGAGAGAGAGAGAGAGAGAGCACTGACAGTGCTGCCAGTCTGAAGACTCTGACGTTCTGAATTGAACTGCAAAGTTCAAACTTTTAAGTTATATATGAAGTTATGAACTTAAATTACTAAATCCGAAGTTCAAAGTTCAAAGTTAATCATACTTTTTTCAAAAAAGAATTCTCTGTTTCTTTAGTCTTGTGCCTGCATTGCACTGTTTGCAAATCTGCACGTCTGCTTGTTAAATGTGCTGGTTGATTTGCTGCAAGACACATGCTCTGCTGCCTGAACTACAGAGTGCAAAGCAGGTAAGTGCCTGCCAACACCCCCACCCAACCCMCCCMMCCCCCCAACCCCCCCCCCGTTTTTTTTTTTTTTGGGGGGGGGGGGTCCGGCATTTTTTCACCCCTGGGACCGGTCCGGACTGTCCGGTGTCCAGTCATGTCCGGTGTTCGGTCCGGATCACCGGACAGTTCGGAACGGTCCAGACACTGGTCCGGAAGACAGTCCGGAAGTGTTCGGTGTTTGGTGTCCGGGTCCGGGGTTACCATGGTTGGGATTCTTGGAAATAACAGTGCATTGATTTGCTGGAGGGAGCGGGATATTAATGAAAATTGAGTAATTTCAATTCTTTTTTTGGTTTAAGACTTTAAGTCCTTCCACTGTGTATTCTCTCATCTGGGGTGGTGTGAATTGCTCTCTCCAAGATCTCTTGTAGTTGCGGATGCATATGGGAACATGTGGATGCCATGCTGTATCTCGTTTCAATCAGGCACGTAACAATAGCATCCTTTCACGGAAATGCAAGTGAGGCTGTTGTGGCCGAAAACCCAAGTGAAATATTAAGTTCGTCTTTGAGACGTCCGTTAATATTGGAACGATACAGACAAGGGTTAATTAGCAAATGGCTCCTGCGAAAAGGCAACACGCATAAATCGAGAAATGGTCCTTTTTTTTTTTTCTTTTTTTTTAAAGAGAAATTCGCATTAACCATCAGTACCAACTCCCCTTGTCTGAAATTCGCGTCAGTATATGTGGCCCAAAATGAAAGGCTCGGCCCCCTCGATGTAATGGGAGTGCCAGGGGTGTGTGCAAAATTCCACGTACCCCAACTTTGGTGATTTTTAATTCTCAGTCCTGATGACGAAAACTTCAGGCAAAAGTTCGGAGATGTAGGATAGGTTCCTTTGCATCAGTGGAAAAAAATCAAACATAAAGTGCCATAAACAAAAATGATTTTCCCCGCGAAAGTGTTTGTGCCAAACCAAATGCATATTGTGTCGATCGAAGTCGCTGTGACCCAGTAGGTGTGACTTTTCAGGCTGGGCAGGCCAAGTTTTCCAATGCTTTTTTTTTTTTTTTTTTTTTTGTAATTTCCCCAATGTTTTGTTTCTTTTTTCCAGTTTGACGGAATAGGTTCCATCATACTGGTGGTTTGACAGAATTGCTTCCGCTGGTGGTTTAGCCATACTTCCTTGAGGATGGTGAACTTTCCCTGCGTCGTTGATTCGTTGCAAAATGCAGCGAGCCTCCCATATGACCGACAATGAAGCTTGTCCATGCAGATCAAAGATATTCTATTATTCTGTCTTTCTTTTTTCTTTTGTTTCGCTTGTAGCCATCCCTTATGGTTCCAATCCTGCAGTTAAATCCAGTCCCTTCTCTCTTTCCCTAACTCATTACCCACACTTGTATTTTTGTTTGTGAACTTTGTGTGTCTTGTTTCTACGTGGACTCGGCTGATCAGGATCTGGGGCATGGGATATCGGCGCCACGTGCCTGAAGACTACCTCCCCCATCATCCACGGATTGGTGCATCAACACCGGGCGCACATTTGTCAGATATGGAGAATCAGTTGACCGCTTCAGGCCTCACTGCAGCTGGAGGAGGGGGAGAAGGAACCGCAACAAGGCCATTTCCCACTGCCACCCAGGGACAAGGACGCAACGAATATGCTTTAGAGTCTGCTGAAATGTCCTCATCCAGGTCAAATCAAAATGGCATGTCTGTTCAGAGTGGAGGAGGGAGAGGTGAGGCATGGGCGAGAGTGCAATCATCTGCAGTGCTGTCCCCGTCAGGGGAGAGGTACATTCATGCGCGTCAGAAGGGCGGCATCGCAAGACAGCAAGCTGCTGCACGTTATATGGACGAGTCGGCAAGAGCTGCGGGTCTCATGAGAGTTCGTGAAGCTGCTGCCAACAGGGGGCTGAATGCATCGTCGGGTGGAAGTGTACCACATGACATCCTTGGGAGTCTGGGTGCCCATGCCATTTACGATGGAGTCCAGTTGCTTGGTGAGCGGTTCTTGGCTAATGTTGTTGAATTCTTGAACTTGGAGGAAGAGCAGGAGCAAGACGAGAAGATGGAGGATCATGAGCGGAGGATGTATGAAGAAGAAGGGAACTTGGGCAGCAAATTGCAAGATGGACAGGTTGGTGTAAAGAATTCGCAAGCAGATGAGATTGAGGAAGAGGCTAGATTTACCACAGGACAAGTTGTAGGAACGAAAGCTCAAGGTGTTATGAAACAGGATGCCCTGAATGTGGGAACAAGGCCGGAGGCTGTGGGGCTTGCTAAAAGGCCTCTTCCAAACAATGAGGACAAATCTTACATGGTCGTTCCCCTGCAACCTACCGAGACACCAGAAGATTCGCTGCGTCGACTTCGAATACTTTTAGGTTACATCAAAGGGAAGATCCTTTCCAACACAGATTTTGTATGCTATCTCTTGTTTGTTGTCACTTTTGTGTGGAACTTCAGCTTTCTCACGCTCATGTACCCGGCAACCCTGTTCATCTACGCCTTGCAGAGCAACCCTGGTCCAACAGACGCTTTCTGGATCCTTGTGCTAGTGTATACAGAGCTGAACATTCTGATGCAGTACACATATCAAGTTGTCAGTACACATATCCCTGACTTTCATCCGGTTTCAAGCATCACACTAGAACTCCTTGGTATCCATCTGACCCACTCGTCGTTTGTGATCAGTGTGCTCCCTCTCTTCCTGGTCTACCTGTGTACGTTGATGCACATGTCCTATAGAGATGGAGAATGGATGAAAGTCGTTGACCAGAGTGACAATGAGGTGGGAAGGAAGAAGAAGGGCACTGCAGGGAGGCAAAAGAGGGTGCGGCTGAACTTTTTCCGCAGTGTTTACAAGGCACTCGTCACATATTGGCGGTCTTTGGTTCAGGGGCGGGAGGCGCCACCGTACTTCGTACAAGTATCAATGTTTGCGCAAAACGTGCCTCAACCAGAAAGCATAGAGTCAGGAATGAACAGATTGTTGGCGAGATCATACCAACTTGCGTGGAATACAGTCTACGCACTCCTGCTGGATGGTCAGCATTCTGCTGCGACGATTGAAAGAAAAGGAGTGCCAAGCCGTGTGCGGGTTGAAAGCATTGAGAACAGTACTGATAAACCTGGAATTGCAGTTGTTGCCGTGCTGGAAGTAGTGCATGCGGCAGTGCTACCGGGCCGAAAAGGAGTAAAGAGGGAGATCTGGCAGGATGTCAGTGAGGGGCCTGTGATGGGACAAAGCAGCAATGTTGACATAGAAGAAGTGCTGACACCATCAGCAGACGTGGCGCATGAAATACAGAAAATGGTCGATGAAGATATTGTGGAAGAAAATGGGTTCCCCTACCCAATTTTCTCTGTGGTTACAGGTCAGAAACAGGAGGCTGATTTCCATGCATACATCGTTGGAATCGATCTGTTGACCTTTATCTACGTGTTGCTGTTCTACCAACTGGCTGTGCGTGACAAGTCTCCATTTGCAGAAGAATCGTATGATTTCTTTGAGGACCAGTTTCCCATGGATTACGTCTTGGTATTGCTGGTAAGTCTTGCAACCCCTCTCCGCTTACAATGTGGCTACCGTCTTCACCCGAATAGAGCGCCCGGTCATTATCGCTGTACGCAGACTGAAAGTTGCACGAAATATGGCTATAATGACCGGGCCTTCCATTTGGGTGAAGATGGTAGCTGAGCGAATGATTTTCCAACTTTTGAAAAGAGTCAAAAGACTGTTTTTTGGGGGGATCTTCCTTTCCTTTCAGTTCATTTATTCCAGAATCCTCCCACTGATCAGACAAATCCCATTCGTCATCTTAGTGGCATAGTTTGGGCGTCGCTCCACTACTCTCCAAATGCACAAAAGACAACAAATATGGCGGAAGATTCATTCTCATTTTGCACATTTGGAGAGTAGTGGAGAAGCCCTTTGTCTGCATGTCTAGTTTCAAAACCACAAAAACGGAGTGAGGACCATCAGCAGATCAGATCAGTACTTCCACAGCCTCGGATCCTTCCACACGACAGCACACGGATTTGAACCGTCACCCTTGGCCTTGAGAACCAAGCATCATAACAACTGCAGCCATGACACGGTGTTCAAAAGTGGAGCCATACCGGTCGTGATATCCACCCCACCCCCACATGGCCGCAGTGACCGTAATGCCCTGTTAGTATCGGTTTCTATGGCCACTTCATAAGATCGCCAGATTCCTTCGTTCAGTTGGTTAATCATTATAACACCATCGAACTGGGTACACTGCAGGTTGCCCAGGAGTGCAGGTCCGTAAACTGGTCTCTGGCACCTGCCCTCAGGCTGGTGTGGAATACCGTGGAATCTCGAGAGGACTGTCAGGCAGTTTTTCCTCTTATCCATTCTGAGAACCTGCAGCTAACCGCGCATCTGCCCTGAACCAATCAGAGAAAAGCATGGTGTGACCCTTTCGACCAGTACCCGTGGGGTAGCCCACAGTATGGAGAAACTCCTATGTTTGGGCCAATATGCTTCGCGCCTTCGGCCTACGACGTGAGACAAAGGGACCTCGAAAACAGCGTGTGGTCATTATAGGTCATTATAAGGTGAGACAAAGGTTGCGCCTCTCTGAAGGGCATGTAAGACTACTGGTCAGCAGCCCGGTCGCCTGATAGCCAGATAGCCAGATAGCCACATAGGAAACACATTGCCCTGGTGGCTATCCGGCTACCAGGCTGCTGGCCAATAGCCAGCAGACAACGGTGATATCCAACATTGCCCTGGATAGCTAACCAATGCCAACAATGTAGGACTCACACACAATGTATAACAGAACATTACGTGCATCGCTTATGGGCTGGTGGGTGGGTGGCTATTAGCCGGCCGCCTGCTAGCCCGATAGCTACAGGGTGATGTGTTGGCTATCTGCTACCTGGCTATCTTACCAGCCGGATAGGCGCCATCGCCCTGCTGTGCACATTCTGGGGACATTTTGCCACCTAACGTCGTTCGAGGATTGCGAACCCCTAAACCCTAAACCCTAAACCATATAATATGTGGTCCTTATATCGGATAGGGAAATCGGTAAAGTCACCTTGATTTCCTTGTATGGATGATTTGGGTTCGTTTGTTACTTTATGTGAGTGCCAGATCTGCTTTTGGTAGGTTGCCTGCCTAACGTTATAGGCCCCATCGCCCTGCTGTGCACATTCTGGGGACATTTTGCCACCTAACCTCGTTCGAGGATTGCAAACCCCTAAACCCCAACCCCTAAACCCTAAACCATATAATATGTGGTCCTTATATCGGATAGGGAAACCGGTAGAGTGACCTTGATTTCCGTGTATGGATGATTTGGGTTCGTTTGTTACTTTATGCGAGTGCCAGATCTGCTTTTGTCAGGTTGGCTCTCTAATGTTATGGGTGATTCGTTTGTGTCAATATTGCTCACTCTGGAGGTTGGCAATCAAATGCATTATGCAAAGCTGCAAACCATCAACACTGGATTTGCTCCATCTCTCCTAACCTGGAGGAGCAAACAAAGGCAAAGAGTTTGTGTGGTCTGCTTTCGGGAGACCTTTATGCCTCCTTTTAAAATACTGTAGTGGCGTTGCACCCTCCTCACTGGCAGTGGAGGAGGAGGGAAGAGCCGGGGGTTCTGAGTAGAAACGATGTCAAAGAACTTGTGCCTTCCCTGCTTTCCCGGATCCTTTATTGTTCATTGCAGTCAAAGGCTAGCAGAGTTGGTAGAGCACATAAGTGGCATTCGGGAGGTTGTGGGTTCGATTCCCCACATCATCCACTTGACTCACCACGGCCCCCTGTGGCGCACTTCTGGTTCACCAGTGGAGATAGTTTGCTTGCTCCCCCTGGTTGATCTTGGTGGGGAATGCCCTCCCTCCCATGCACTGCTAGAGGTTAGGTTCAACCCTGAGGGGGTGGGCTCTACCCTGGGGGACGGCTCAACCCTGCGGGGGTATACAAATAGTACAACACCAGAACTCCTGGGTGCTTAGCTGGTAGCTACTGTGAGGTTGTTTCTATATTGAGAGAAGATAATAGTGTAGGGCATAAAAGCTGTCCCCCGTATGAGGCGCAGACAGCTTAAAATTAAAAAAAAAAAAAACGAGAAAAAATGGCCACCACGGGGTTCCGGCAAAGCTTGGCGGGCAGGGGGAATCCGATTCGGCAAAAGGAGGCTCGGAGGTAGTGGCGGTTGAGGAAGGCTGCTGTTACGATCCTGGCCAATTTCGAAGTATACAAACCATACTTGCGGCGCATCCGTGCGCTGCGCGATGCGGTGCGGTGCGCAGCGCGCCGTGCGCCCGTCGGGGATGCGCGCATTGATGCGCGATGCGCGCGCATCAATGCGCAGTGCGCAATGCGGGATGCGTTGCGCGGCACTTGGATGCGCAGTGCACCAGTGCATCGGGGCGTGCGCGTGCCGCGCGCATTTGCGCACATGGTGCGCTCGGGCATGGAGGGAAGGGGAGGACAACGACGAAGGGAGGAGGAGATGGGTGACGAGGGAGGGAATGGAGGAGTGAGGAGGAGATCAATAGCGACGGAGGAGGGGGAAGGGAGAAGGGCGGAGGGAGGACGACACGAATGATGGAGGGAAGGGGAGGACAACGACGAAGGGAGGAGGAGAT